CCCCCCTCCAAACCCCTGGCGCCGGACAGCACCAGGCAGTGGCAGCGTGCCCTGTCCCCGAGCTGAGCTTGAGGACCAGCAGGGATAACTTCCAGCCCAGAACGCCTCCAGGAGCACCTCTCACCCGCACCCATGCCTGCTTCCAGCTGCCAGGTTTTCCCTTGCACAGTGCTGAATGACCCAAAAGTGGCTAATTTTGGGGATCCTCCATGAAAGCGGCACACAAACGTGCTCCTGCTGCCTTTGGGTTTGGGAACCTGGCAAGCTGTGTGCTCAGCCTCTCACCTCTCCCAGTAAGGACGGGAGCTGAGGTCTCTCCACGCAGAAGCACAACATTCCGTATCCCCAATCTCTCCCTGAAGGTGGTGCCTGATGGATTTGGGATACACTCTTCAGCTCAAATTTAAGTTAGAAGTTTTTAGTACAACACACGTGCCCTAAAAATCACCTGAGTGAAGCTCGTTTAAAAAAAAAAAAAAGGAAAAAAAAAAGCCTCCAACAAATGCTAACCTAAACTAAAATGTGCTGGATTAAAAGCAACAATCCAAATCAGCATGAAACCACAAATAAAAATCAACAGACTGTGCCAAAGACCTTGGGGGGATAAAAAGGTTTATAAGTCTGCTTTACAGAGGGGCTTTTTGCACATTCATAAGGCAGCCCCCAGAGACGCAAAGGCGAAGTTATGAACAGCCCCCTTCACATAAACCCCAAGATTCTCCAGCTCCAATCCTTGAGGCCACGGCAGCTCGGAAAGGAACCTAAATCTAATCTATTCGGTTAGAAGTAAATTTTCAGACTTAATCCTGCCTCTACGGGCAGCCAACTACATTTTCCAGCAGCAGGCGAAGCCCTCGCAGCAAGGCTCTTGCAAGGCTCACGCCCAGCGGGGCACGGTCCCCGTTTGGGGGCAGCCTCTGAATTCGGGTCCCGGTGCCCTGGGGTCTCGGTGGCACTGCTGGCCCTACCCCACGTGGATCTGCTCCTGGCTCCCCATCGAGCCACCGAGCAGCAGTGGCAGGAGGGCATCCCCAGGGCAGGGCAGTGCCTGCGGCTGCAGCCAGAGCCCAGGAGAAGTCAGGCAGTGCTGGAGGGAGGCGTAGAGCCCCTGCCCCTCCGAACGAGCAGGCAGCAGAGCACTCAGCAGTCTTAGGGCTAAATAACAGGGCCTTGGCTGACTGCTGTCATCTTGGTTTTAAATAAGCAGATTTTTCCTCTTCCCGCCCTTGACAAAGTCTTGGACTAACGCCTTATCTTCGGGGGCATCGAAAGAAAGCAACAACAAGCGAGCAAAGAAGCAGCAAATAAAAAGGAGCACATATAAATCAAATCAAGAGCAAAACACCACCCCAGTAACCAAACAAATTACCATCGTCATCGGCCAAGTTATGCACAATTACCATGTGTCCTGACATGCAACGAAGGAAGCGGAGTAAAAAAAAAAAAAAAAAACAAAACACACATTCTGTCGTGCTTTCTGTTTGGCTTGAATGCAGCTACGGCACATTTAAAAATAAATAAGACTTTTTAGAAGCCTGCCTGCCTTCTGTAGCTGTGACCTGGACCTCAAAGCCCACCGTGGGCAGCCTTTCAGCCGCCCTTTCCATGGGAAAAGAGGATGAGGAGTAGCCAACAACCAGCCCTAGCACACCTTCGGAGGCAGCACAAGTAGCACCACACAGCGAGGGTCACGCTGACTGAGGGAAACAACCCAAGCAAAAGCCTGGTAAGAAACCCCTGCCCTGCGTTACCCTGGCCACGCGATGCCAGACTTTGCAAACCCGAGACGCTTTGTTTCGGCAGTAAAGATTTTAGTGCTGCTCTCGACAGAAATCGTCAGGCTCCCCCCCTGCGCCCGGACCACCGCCGGCGAGCACGGGTCACGTTCAGGAGGGAGCGTCCAGCACGGCCCCTGCCGGGGGTCTGGAAGCGGAGCCGTTGTGCTGGGGAGCGCTGCGAGGCGTGGAGGGGACAGGGGGAACCCTGCGGGGAACGGGTTTCACCAGAATGGCCTGGAAGGCATCCAGGGCTCCGAGCGAGACGAGCTGTGTCTGCCCAGAACTGACGTGTGCTGAGCGTGGGGGCAGGCCCCTCCTCAAAACCTCTCCTATGGACGCCTGGCATCCCGCGCCTCCAAAATAGCTGCAGGGACCCAGAGCTGAGCGCGGCGTCTCCCCTCCGCATCTGGAAAAGCTCCGGGGCAAAGGCTGGGTACGGGGAAAGGAGGACTGGGATGACGGGGGGCACGGCCACCCTCCAGGAGGGCACGTGGGGGGGGTCACGCAGCACCCCTACTCCCCTTCTCAGGCAGAGCTGGGGGGAAGAACACACCGCACTGCCCTCCCCCGAGCATCCCTGCCCTCCCCTGGGGACCCTCCTTTCTCCCCAAATCCCGAGGGTCCCCCCATGCCCCCCACAACCCCTTCCACCCGAGGGCCCCCCACGCCTCTCTGCGCAGCCTTCCCAGCCGGCAGCGGACTCCCCCTGGTCCCCTGCTGATGGATGTGTGGGTGGATGGATGGATGGATGGACGGACAGACGGATGGATGGATGGATGGATGGATGGATGGATGGATGGATGGATGCCGGCACGGGGGCGGCTGCTGCCCGGGGGGAGAAGGCGCCAGTGCAGCCGGCGCGACGCGGCTGCTCCCCCTCCGCCTCGCAGGAAACCAGCGGTCGGTGGCGGAGCTGGCCCCGGCGCCGGCCGCTGTCTGCAGCTGCAGCAAACGAGCTGCGACGGGGCGGCGGGGGGCGACGGAGCCGGGCGCGACGGGGGCCGGGCGCCACTCTTTTCCCCAGCCACGGCGGGGGAGCCCCCGGCAGGGCTGGCCCCAAAGGCAGGGGGGGAGCAGCGCGGCGCCAGACGGGGCTGAGGGCTCCGACCCGAGCTCGGGGGGCTTCGACCCGAGCCCTGCGGCGCTGCCTCTTCTTGCTGGCAGCGGCAGAGAGAAGGGCAGGGATGCGGAGAGCCACCAGCAGCCGGCCAGCCCCGTGCCAAGGGGGGCTCTGCTGGGACTGACCTCGCTCCGGGAGGAGGAGGATGGAGCCAGCTCCCCATCGCCGTGTCCCTGTCTGAACGCAAGCACCCAGGGTACCCCGAACATCCCCAAAATTCCATGGTTGGGCAGTGGTACCTACATCTGGAAAGGTGGAGAGGGGTGGGCACCCCCCTTCCTCGTGTCACTGTTTTGAATGTGCAGCACACTGCAGCTGCTATGAGGCACTACCAAAAGCCTTCAGGTTCCAAACGTGAAATTGTCACTCGGTCAGGACTACGGTCTAATTACAGCCCAGAAAATGCAGCACGCACTGAGAAACACAGCTTGGATGAAAGCTCTTGCTGGGGTTTGGCCCCCCTGGGCGCATTCTGACACCGACCCCCCTGCAAGCAGCTCACACGAGTGGGTTAGCAGCAGGAGCCAAGTGCAGGGGGATTCATTTCTCCTCTCCCAAAACCACACGAAGCCTTCTTTCCCTGTCTGAACTTCTCATATTCAGTTCTATTTTAAAAGCCACTTTAATATAGCCTTTGTTCCATGCCCAGCTGCCTCCCTTTGTAAATGCACAGCATCCCCGCGCATCTATTAAAAAATGCTGCTGCTAGGGAAGTACGAAGTGGCCTTTGGCCACCGCTCCACGCAACTCGCTACGCAGAAAATTACAAGCAGCCAGCATCACCTGGCCGGGCACTTAGCCCCAGCAGCAAGTCTGGGTCTTTGGTCTTCAGATCCCTGCTCGTTGGCCTCCAGTCCGTACAGATCAGTGATTAAAGCACACACAGAACTCACCACGGCAGCAAGTTTATCACACAGCACCCCAAACTTTGCCCCCAGACTCAGAGGAATGACAGCAGTCCCTCAGAAACACCAGGTTTTGGTGGTCCATCTGCCCTGCTGGGTTTAGGATACCACGTAAGGCAGCGGAGCTGTACCTGGGAGCTCAGTGGGGCCGGGCGGCTGCTCCCCCAAGCTGACCCCACAGACAGACCCCACAGCTGTGACCGTGTCTGTCTGTAGACACACATCACATGCACATATATACGCCATGCAGAAAGCATTTCAGTTCTCAAATCCAAGATGAGCATCATGAAGATGCTGCGTGTGGAACAGAACATCTCTCAGATTCCACATAACAATACAAGAAAAAAATGGGTAATTTCAGTGGATTAAAGGAAGCAAGTCACAAGGGGCAGCTGTTCCCACAGTGCTACTGACAACAACGTTCCAAGTCACGGCTGGCTTTTCAGACCACGACCTGGTTCACTTCCATGAGCCAACAGTTTTGCCATCACCTTTTGGTATTTCTGTATTTTATGGTAATTCCTGCACACAAAGAACTGGTTTTAATGCCTCGGTTGACCACAATTTCAGTTGGTTTTTATTTACACCAGCATCTTTTGGATGAAGATGCTGGTGCCATATAGAGATTTTGAAAGTTCTCAAGGTAACGGCAGAGAGGAACCCAAAAGTTGTGCTGCAAAGATCTACAAAAGCAGTGATTTACGAGACGAATGCTGTAAAAGTTGTGAATGTTTAAGATGAGCTCGTTCCTCCTTCAGCTTAGCTTTAAAAAAAAATCATTAATGGTTTGTAACCCGTGGCTGCTCTGACTCTAGCACGCGGGTGCATTCGCAATGCCCTTCTGCTTTATTTATCCACTTTACACCTCTGCAAAACACACAAGAATCGAGGGGTGAGGATAAGGACGAAGCTGCTGAGCGGCTGGCCGCTTGCACGGAGCCAGCTCCCCCCGAAAGCCACACAATCGCGCCGCAGCCTCTAGGTTAAACACCTCTCTTCCCACCTGCGCTGTCTGCAAGCAGCGCTGGCAGCCCCAGGGACTGGCAGCTCCTACCGGAGCACAGAAGCAAAGGGCTGGTGGTTGGTTTTTTTTTTTTTGGTTTGTTCTTTTTTTTTTTTTTTTTTTTTTTTTAAGGGGAGGAGGCGGAGGAGAGGGGAGATGTCTTAACTAAAGCACATATTTAACAGTAATCTTACCACTGGAGACGAAATTCGACACCCAGGGCAATCACAGATTGGAGGATGTACCTGTAAGATTCCTTTGGACATAAGAGTCTTCAAACTTTTCCCTGGATGCGGAGGAGAAGGAAACAAGGAGGAGAAGCAGAAAGAAAAAAAAAAAAGAAAAAAAAAGATCAGCACCTTCACAGGAGGAAAGGATCCAGGGAGACAGGCACTGCCCCCCTGCCTGCCAGCACCCACCCACCCCAGCTGCTGCCTGCTCCTTCCCCGAGCTGCCCGGGGGGAGGCGACCCCCGAACCCCGGAGCCCCCCGGGGGGGTTCTGCGCTACCCAAAGCCTTCCTCCCCCCCCCCCCAAAAAAAAAGCTCCTCCAGTTCAACCTCGGGCCTCTCCTGACTCACCCCGGAGGAGCTGAGGTTTCCTGAAGGCAGCCAGTGCCAAAAGCAAAAATGAAGAATTAAAAAAAATTCAAAATAAGATTTTAAAAATATTTTTAATTAAGGTTTAAAAAATAAGATTTTTTCTAATTAAGGTTTTTAAACAAAGAATTTTTAATAAATATTTTTTAATTAATATTTTTAAATAAAGATGTTTAATATAGATTTTTTAATTACGGTTTTTTAATTGAGATTTTTTTAAAAAAATACGATTTTCTAAAAATAAGACATTTCTCAACATTTTGTTGGTTTTTTTTTTTGGCTTGGGAAGGAGTGCGGCACCGCCAACCGGAGCAGCCCCCGCAGCTGCTCCCCCTTTTTCATCCCCCCCCCCCCGGCGATCAATAACCGGGGCGAGGTGTCAGCCACCTCCCCGGCCCCCCCCCCCCCCCCTCCGTGCGCCCCCCCCCGGCTCTCGCTAATTGCGTGGCTCCTCTCCTCGCCCCCTCACCCCCCCCATACCCCTTCCCCTCCCCATCCCCACCGACCCCCCCCCCTCCCCATCTCCCCCCCCCCCCCCAGGCCGGCTGCGGCTCTCCCCGCTCTGCCTCCACCTGCCGCCCGCACCAGCAGCTCCGCCGCGCCGGCCCCGGCGCCGGGACTGCGGCGGGGAGGGAGAGAAGGAGGGAGGGAAGGAAGGAGGGAGGGAGGGATGGAGGGAAAGGAAAAGGGGGGGGAGGACCGGCTCCCCCCCCCGGCAGCACGGCGGAGGTCCCGCACCACCCAGCAGCCGGGGGAACACCCCCCCGGCGCCCCGCCCGCCGCCCCGGAGCTGCCTTGTCCTCACCCCGGCGCGACGGAGCCGCCGCTCCCCGTGGCGCCGAGGCTCAGCCCCCGGCTCCCTGCCCCCCCCCCTCCGTGTCCTCTGACCCCCCCCGGATCCTGTGACCCCCCCTGGGTCCTGTCCTTCCCCTCCCAGTTTGTCTGTCCCCCCCCCGAGTGTGTGTCCCCCCCCCCCCAGGGTGCCCCCCGCCGTCTGCCCGCACGGAGCGAAACTTCTTCCCCCCCCCTCAATGAAGAGACGCCTCTCCCCCCCCCCCAACATAACTCGTCGTCCCCCCCCCTCCACCTCCTCTCTTCTTCCTCCTCCTCTTCTTCCTCCCCCCGCCGGCGCTGCCAAATCGCTGGGAAAACTTCCAGCCGCGCTGCGCCGCTCCTGGGGTGCCCGGGTGGGGGGCGGCGGGGAGAGCCCCGGGGGAGTGGGGGGGCACGGCGAGGCAATACGAGGTCCCCCCCGGTAACAGGGAGCCCCCCCGCTTCCCCCAACACCCACCCACACAGCTCCCCCCCCCCCCTCCCCGGATCCGGCCACCGAAGCGTGGGGGGGGGCGAGGGGGAGGATGCTGCGGAAGAGCGGCGAAATTTGGGGGACCCCCCAAAAAATATTGCAAGGTGGGGGGGGGAGCAGCGCCCCTACCTTTGTGCCTGATGCTGCGCTTCCAGTCCTTGGCCGTCTCCCTGCCGCTGACAAACTGGAACTCGTTCGGGGTGAGCCACTCGCCCCGGTACCGGATAGAGGGTCCCTTGCTCCCCTGGCACAACTTATTGATGTAGAGCAGCGCCTTGTTCTCCCCGCACTCCACCTCGATGCAAGGCTCGCCGTTGTCAAAGAAGGGCTGGAAATCCGGGATGGAGGAAAACCTCTCCAGCATCAGGTCCTCGGGGAGGTGGTGGTGGGGGTGGGAGGGGTGGGGGCTCTCGTGGAAGCCCAGGTACGCGCGGTGGGCAAAGATCTGCTCGTACGCCGGCGGGTGGGGGGCTACCACCGGCATGGCAGCGGCGGCCAGAGGGGCGAGATAGTCAGGTAAGGTTTCCATGGGTTGGTTAAAGGCTGCCAGGGCCAGCTCTTCCCTGTCAAGTCGCTCCTTCTTGATAGCAGGCATGGTGCTACTGCGCTCCCCGGGCGCCCTCGTCTCTCCAAAGCGCAGTGGCTCTGATGTCTCCGGCTCAACTTGCCCCCGCTCTGGCTGGAGTTTGGATGAAATGCGCCAGCAGCAGCAGCAGCAGCAGCAGCAGCAGGAACACGAGCACCTTTGGCGCTCGGGTGCCGGAGGTGGCTGGTATCCCCCGGAGCAGCCCGCGAACAAATCTCCTGGGCTGGCTCCCCAGCGGAGCTCCCTGGGATCCCTCTCCCACGGAGAGCCTAATGTACCGTAGCCCCGGGAGCTGCCGTGTGGCTCGCAGATCTGCCCCTCCGGACTAATACCTGACATCTCGGAGAGGTCTCCGCTGCCGTAGACATTATTTTGGTTTAAAAAAAAAAAAAAAAAAAAAAAAAAAAAAAAGCGCTTATTGATTCCCCTAGATCGACCCACCTTCTCACCAGGCTGGAGGGTTCCCCGCCGCCCACCCGGCCCCCTTTCGCCCTCCTTCCCCCCCCCCAGCCCTCCCCCCCCCTTTCTTCCTCCCCTCCTTCCTTTAAACTGACACCTGGTTTATTTATTTCTAGGCGATAATTAAAATGAAACGCTGCGCCCCCGCCGCCGCCACCCCGCCATCCGCCTCCCTCCCCTCCGCCGCCGCCGCCGCCGCCGGCGCCCGCCGGGCGCGGGCAGGATCCGGCCCCCGGGGGCCGCCCGGTGCCGGCCGCCCCTGCCCTGCCCCGCAGCGCCCGGGGGCTGCAAGCAGCCGGCCGGCCGGAGAAGTTTCCCGGGGGCCTCCCCCCTCTCCCTCCCTCCCTCCCCTCCACCTGCACCCCTGCGCCCTCGCCCCGCTCCCACCGGCGGGTTCGGAGCACCGCCAGTTGGTATTTTAATTCCCACTCCTGCGCGGAATTTAAGGAAAAAAAAAAAAAAAAAAAAAAAAAGCCGACACGGTATTATGTTACAGAGATATGTGTGTGCATATATATATTTATCTACATATTTATATATATATACACACGCATGTACAGCCCCGCCAGCTCGTGCTTTTCTGCACGCCGTGCGCTCCCCACGCAGGCGCCCCCAGCCCCTAAACGCCGCTCTGTGTCGGGCTGCCGGCTCGCCCCCCCGGCCCTCCCCCGAGCCGGGACAGACATATATTGATCTGCGCTCCGAAGTCGCAGCGCACTTCCCAGACTCCGACCAAACAAGCTTTCCCTCCGCCGCCGCCGCTTCTCTTAACTTGGCCCATTTAAAGAGCGGAGGCGCTTGCAAGCGCCGCGCCGGCGGCGGCGGCGGCGGCGGGGAGACAGGGGGTGAGCGACGGCCGGCGGGGCCAGCTCCGGGGCCAGCTCCGGATCCGGCTCCGGAGCCAACTCCGGAGCCGCAGGGGAGCCGCCAGCCCGGCTCCGGCGGCTGGCGCGGCTGGGCTTGCCCCCTGCCAGCCGGGCTCGCCTCCCTCCGCACGCCTGGCTGCGTGCGCTGCTCTGCCTGGCAGGCTCCTGGTGGGAAAAGCCTGGGGAAGGAGGGCTCGATCCTTCTCTTTCCTCCCCCCCAGGGATGGAGGAAGAAGCAGGGGGTGTGCTGTAATTTGGTTTTGGGTTAGGAGCCGTAGTGGACAGCCACGCGGAGCAGCCCAGTGCGGCCCAAAATTAAGTTGTGTGGTTGTTACGGATTTTTGTGATGGTGATGAGAGGTCCCTACCTTTGGATGCTGCTTGGGATCGGCTGAGTGGGAAGAATCCTACCTGGAAGGGAAATAAAAAGAAATTATCCTCTTGAATATACTACAAGAAATATGCCCCACAAGTGTTAGAAGGTGGCATCACTATCCCATCCCAAACAACAACAATTCTTGATTTTGTTCCAAGGTGCACATTTTAGTGCATATTTTCTTACAGGGGAGCTGGTGGCAAGTTAAATTTGCCTTCCAGACAGGGAGAAATGGATTTGCTTGTCTCTCTCCCATCTGCTCTCCACTGGTAGCCACTGACAGAGGTAGCAGGGCAGTTCCCAACCAGCCCCTGCCCCTTCAGCACCCTCTCTCTGATGCTCTCAGGGCAGAGATGAGAATGCCCAGCACCTCCCAGCACCTTTACGAGGAAGCTAAAAAGCTTCGTTTTAGTGGTAAAGAAACTGAGATCCAGAATGTGAATGCTGTACTCATGCTGGGTTTACACAGTTACTCATGCAGCTACTCAGTCCCACAATGAGTAAACACAGGCTAATAGGGGTGAGGAGCTCACACTGGGGCACCAAGTGATTTGCCTGAGCTCCCATGGGTGCTCTCTGCCCCCCACAACCCCCAGCTGATGGGAACCCCTCTCGACACCGCGTCCTCTGATGGGCCCCTTGTGGGACAAGCTGTTGCTTCACACCAGCAAAGGGGGAGGAAAACGGCTCTCCGGGGTTCAGCAGGTCTGGGAATGGAACCTGAAGCCCCAAACCTCATCTCCTGGCCCCGTTTGACCACGATTCTTCCTCGCCTATTTATTCGCCAGGAATGCAAGCTCTGGGAGCAATCCTCTCACTTCTTGCTCTAATGAAGGAGGCAGATATACATACCCATCAAGCCCTCTCATTTAGGCTTTCAGGCTTAGGCTCTTATTCTTAATGCCTCTGATTGCTCAAGATGACAGGGGAAAAATTACTTTCTATTATCACCTAATGAACCAAGAACAATGCTTGGAAGAGGCTCTGGGAGACGCAGGCGTTCTCCGCGAAAGCGTGCGATGACTCTGGATGGAGCTCAGGTGAGGAGGCCGTAGGGTGAGCAGAACTGCTCTTGTCCTCCTAGAAAACCTCCTCACCTGGCACACCTACAACTGCCCTGAGCTCTCTGCAGGGCTCACAGAGCTTCTTCAGGCTTCATTTGAATCCATTTCCTTTGCGACTTGGCTTCATGGGGCTGATTGCTTTTAATTTTTTAGATGGGAATGGTGTTTCCTCTGTAGCTTGCTTTCTCTTACAGCCACAGTGATTGCTGTTCTTCTGCCACCTCCATCCGTAAGGGCAACTTCACCTCCAAGTGCAGAGAGCTTGGCCACCTCCAAAGATAAGTCTCAAGGCTTCCTCCAGGAGGGCTCAGAGGAGCAGGAATGGCCTTCACCCTGCAGGAACACATCCTCCTGTGGCACTGCCAGGCCCCTCAGATCCCGTGGGTTGGCCGCACGCTCAGATCCCCTAACAGCACCTAGCGTCTGCTCTGCCCGTATCAGCCAGCTGTGATGGAACCTTTCCTAACCCCGAGGATTTGTATTTACCTTCTCTTTTCAGGGGAAAAGTTGACTTGCCGTGGGGTTTTCCCACTTCGCGTCAGCTCAGTTGCTTTCAATCTCTAAAGGAACTGGGCTCAAATCTGAACCTACTCATAAACGAATCTGCTTAGACTTCATTCTGGAAGGGCAGCAACTGCTTGGCTGTGCTTCAGTCCCCAAAAAATATGGGTATTTGATTCCAGTATTTGGCCAAGCACTGGCAGAGGGAGGTTTCCTGATGGTGTCTCAACCCGAGGTGCAGGGCTTGGGCCAGGCTGCATTTCCTGCACACACACGATGCTTTCAGGTAGACCTCAGAAAAGTTCAGAGGGATTCAAGAGGCGCAGATTCAAGGCAATCCTATCAGTCTCTTACAAGCACTAAAATTTACTACCAAGTCCTCCCTACCCCTCCACACCGTAATAAAGCATAAGAGCTCTGTCTGGAAGCCTGAGTCCAACAGCAGGAGCCTCAAGTTGTTCAGCTCCAGTCTCGTAAGAGTGGAGCTCTTGGGATTAGTGTAAACAGATCCACCACTGGCGAGCAGATCAGAGAGATCTAAGCAAATCCACGCACACGTGGTTGAAGAGAGAAGCAGGTATGCTTTGCAAATGCCAGACTAAGGAATTGGAATGTGCTAGAGTCTGGGGGTGCAAATCGCTGTGTCTTTTTGTGGTGTGTTTCCAGCGCACCTAGCAAAGTGGAAGCATGATTCTTAATCTGCTCAGAGAGGCGCTACCACAGGAAGCGTAATAAATAGTGATCATTTTCTAACGTTTAGTTCCTCACTTCTGGAATACATCATGCTGGATTGAAGCAAAACCAGGACCTTTTGTTTCTCTCTGATCAAATGTGTCAACAGCAGCCAAGAGCTAGCTGTCCTGGAAAGCCTATTACAAGAAGAGATGGTGCTTCAAGCACAGGTCTGAAAGTTAACTGATAAGGATTTTCCTCCTCATTCTGTCATCAGTTTCATGGACAAATTACTTATCCTGGAGAGGCCTCCATTATTCCACCTGTAAAAGGAGGGGGAACATCCTATATGCAATTTGTTATTTACATCTGACAGTAAACCTGAGTTTTTAACTGAGATCAAAGGTCCCTGGTGCTGAGTGTTTGAAAAACTCATTGTAGGTGCAGGCTGTGCCCCTTGTCAGGAAAGGCAGGTTGAGGCTGGGAGGAAAGAGGCACCCAGGCAGAAGTAAAATGGCCAGACCAAGTCCACAGAGTGCTCCTGGCTGGCTGTGCCATACCAGGGGATCCTCACAGCCCCCAAGTAAGGATGTCAGCCAAGTTGTGTCTTGCACACCAGGAGAGCTCAGGTAGTTAAGCAGGTCCTTCAACCAATGGGGCAGTACCCCCTGGGCCCTGTCATTTCCCCGAACAAAGCTAGGGTGCTTAGCCCTTTATGACTGCGAATTAACAGCTCCTCTCCCCACTCCTTTCCCCCAGAATTGCCCTGATGTGATCACACCCGTGATGGAAAGCGACAGCTCTGACCCTACCAAGTCACCCTAAACTGACCGAAAGACAAGGCAGGAGACCAAGCACCACCACTCCCCGAGCCAGCCAAATTCATGCCTTCTCCAGTCCCTTTTACAGCCTCGGAGGACATCAAGGCTGTCTAACAGACAGGATTCACTGCTTTTTGTCTTTTATTCCTTGCCAGGTGTGGCCCAGGCTCTGTGCTCTCTGCGGCACGTGAGCAGCCCAGCCACGCTGCCAGCAGGATCAGTACTGGAGGTAATACTAGCCTCGGGCCAGACTGCTTCATTAAGAGAGATTTTGACAGCCCAGCAGCAAGAGCAGCAGCAGAGAGGGCACACGAGGGTCTTCAGGGGCGGAGGGTTGGGAAGGAGGACACTGGAAAGGGCTTTGCCTCTCAAAAAGGGCTTCCTCGGGAACTGCTGGGCTGTACCCTTTTTAATCCCATTGATACAGAAGACTGCCACTTACACTGAATTCTTGGGGTGAAAAAGGAGCCCCCTAGAACTCACTACGAGGTATTTTGTGTCTTTGTTGGAAGTAGGGTTAGGGTAGCATGAGGTTACACAACAAACCAGAGCTGTCAATTGCATACATCCCTACCTC